AATTTAGATTTTTTTTTCCAAAAATCTGTACGTTTCGGGTAAAAACTCAACACGGATTCATAAACTAGATGAGTAGGACTATGTTATTTTATACAATTTAAAACCCATTTACTATGTACAATTTCGAAGTGACGTCATAATATTATTGGTGGGGATGATTAGACAAATTTTGGTTAGCGTTTTACCATCTACGTGATATTCCTAATATAAATACAAAATTTAACAATCGGTCCAGTACTTTCGAAGATTATCTGTTTAATAAAAATCCGGGACGGCAAACAGACAGACCGACAGACGGCAGACAGACAGATGGAGACGGGGGACCTAGGGGTCATGAAAGGTCGAGAAAACGTGAAAGTAGAGAGTCGGCCGACGGACTCGATTACAATACTTCCTTTGCTTTCGCTCGGGAAGTAAAAAATAGTAAAGAAATTTGTCCAACATAAATATGAATACTATAAAAAGACTGTATACTAAAAACAAGTTTCATAAGTCGTTAATTTAGAGTACGAGTCGTAAAACGAGTTTTCCAAAGGAAGAGTGCTCTAAAATGTCTTGTAAAACGTGTATTTTACACTACTTTTATAGTTCTCGTCTTTTTTTCGTTTTAAAATAAAAATTGGAATATTTAAAATTTTGAGGAATTTTGTCGTGGTTGGTATGACAAATGTCAGATTGTAAGATTTGAAGTTTAAATTTTCGCAATAATAAATTATTATCAATAATGGGTGAAGACTGAAGACAATAATCTTAGCTCAGGTGCAGTTAGATGAATGACGTGGCAGTAAAACGATAGGCAATGAAAACAATTTTCAGCAAAATATTGTTACGAAATAAACCAATACGCCGCCCCCGTATGACGCCTGTGGGTTTTTCTAGTATGTGTTGTCGATAATGGGTGACTCATGGACGGCCGAGCGGCGCTCGCTAGAGCTTAGGCCTGGAAGAGGAAGTCGCGCTGCTGGATTCCAGAAAGCCCCGATCGCACATCTACAAGGAAGTATGGGTTTAAATAGAGGGCAACTTTGGGAACGATGGAGAGGAGTGTAATTCAGACAATGGGAGAAGTCTAGTCAAATCCAATCAGTCGAGTCGAATCCAACGAGTGTTGCGCCGGAATTAGTTTGTACATAATCGCTCTGTAATTAGTCGTATAAATTCGAGTTATTAAGAAATAAATTGTTGAGTTTAACTCACGCCGATTTTAATACCCGTCCAACGTAACAATATTATGATAATCATATTATCTAGCATTAATCTAAGTAGCCAATGATACGATTAATGTGTATGCATAATACATTGTACATTTCATAGCAAAATTTATGATTTAATTCTAATTAAAAATATGATTTCTTTCGTTGGACGTTTATTTTATTTGTTATTTAATTCTAACACTTGTAATGACCAAAACATAAAAATAAATTACCCCAGTTCTATTAAAGCACTCGCTTTATAGCTCAGTTATGAACGCGGAGTAGAAAAAATATATTTTAAACAGTTGGTATTGTCAAGTCTTTCAATATATAAATCAAAATCGTTACTTATCCAGTGTTAGACAATAAATACATTTTATTCTATTTTAGTATCATAATCTTGTTTATAAGCACCCAAATACGGGCATAAATTGGTCTTTATGGCACAAATCAGTCAAAAATTGCTTCATTTCCATTAATTAATTATTATTCAAACAAGCTTCCATACTTAAATTCTTCTAAAATTTCTTTTGAATAAACGTTTTCTGCTTCTTCAGTTTGCTTTTGAAAATCGAATTATTTAACAAATAAACAACATGGTATCCATAACAACATCAAAAACTAATAATCTGAGGTATATATTATAGCTTCTAGCTTGTATTACTGCTGACTAAAAGAGGACTATGTAGGTCGGATTTAGGTCAGGGTATGGGTTGGTCGACTACAAGCTTAGCGCTGCAAGCGTACCCAATGCACAGACTTCTAGGCTCTTTAAGGTTATATGGCCCCACTAAACCTAATAATGGGAAATAATAATCCCTTTTGTGAGGCTGGTCAGCGGCACGAGCCTATGGATAACGGACAATACAGTCGAAAAGATTTACAACTGTGGGTTTGCCTTATTAACCACTTTACAATACCCAATTTTACAACAATCGTACAACCTTAGAGAATCTGGGTCACTATAACTATGGATTTTGAATTGTAAACATAGATTTTAGTATTTATTTTAGTTACCTGACGTATCAAATTACGTTGAGGTTAGCATCATTAAGATTGTTTTAAGAATGCGAAAGAAAAGATATTATATACAGTAAACTCATTTGACATACACCTGGTAAAACTTTTATGACTTAAGCGGCTTAAGGCAAAGCATTCTTATAAGTCAAACTGGCTATTATATAACTTAACTCAGTTCACATATACCTAATGGCAACAATGGACAGTAATAATCCTTGCGGTTCGGGTCCATAAAGCTTACAATAGCCAGTTTGACTTATAAGCGTGGTTTGGCTTAAGCCAATTAAGTCATAAAGGTTTTACAAGGTGTATGTCGAGTGAGTTTACTGTACAAGTTCATTCACTGCCCAATCCTAATTTACCCAAAATGTTAGCGAGGAAATAATTCTTGTTTGTGCAGTTTTAAAATTCAAATATCAATACTGATGACAATTAGCCGGCTGATAACCTAAGAAAGGTTACATATTGGTATTCCGTCATCAACATATTTTTTTCGTGTTTTTTTTTCAGAGTACGTCGCCTTTAGGAATTACTTTTTATCCAGTGTTTGAATCACTACTTTTTCTATTTTACATAAGTGATATTTTCTCTTGCATGAATAATCAAGTGATATTTTTTGCGGCTGATATCATGGCAAAATTCTTGTAATAATTAGCATAATTCAATACTTTTAATGAATACTCCACAATACAAGCTTTTGTTAGACAGGTTTCAAGCCAATCAATTGTGCCAAAACAACGAGAAAATCCTTAGACGCTTTTCTCACTACATTTTCGCAGCGAAATATCTACAGGGACTTCCTGGTAAAAATTTTAGTACATAATTTCGTTTGACCGTTTTTGCCTATGACTGGATGCCTGTTTTGGAGACACACATAGCTCTCATACTAAACACTTGCACTACAAAGAATTTTTTAGCGAAGAGTGCTTTCTATTACAATGATGAATTTTAATGTGTTTGTTTCCTAATTATATTGCTCCATATTTCTTTGACATCTCTTGCAACTTGTCACTGTCTTTTATTGGAAACTATGTAACAGTTGTGTTATGAGGAATTTCTCTGAACTGCTCTACATTTTCTTATGAATGAATAATTTTTCCGGACAAGTCCATATTTAAAAAAATGTAATAGATATAAGATTAATTACTTTTACTTCCATGAACCCACTACTATTTGTTTTGACACTGTCTGGACTGAATTTTCCACAAACAGTACTTTTAGTATACAAATATGCAAAAGCTTAATGTACTAAAAAATCTGAATACAATACCCCAAAAGTTTACATGTTTTAACGTACATTGTGTCAAGGATAGGAATTTACTTATTTGATTTTTTAAAAAGAGGAATACGCTCAACATTAAATCTGACATAGTTGTTTTTGTAATTATTTTCTATTTCTTTTAAGTATGAAATTTAGCGCAATTAAAAACAGTTAAGTTTTCTTGGTACATCTTCTGTTAATTATAGTGTTATAAAAAGATCGTTATTAATGATGTAAGTACGATTAAGCTTCTAAGTTATAACAGATCAAATATGTTCTACAGCCAATAAATTTATCAAAAACATCGGCTGAATGTTGTTCAATAATTTTCATAATTTTTTATTTGGGCTACGACAAATTCAAAAATTAAAAATGGGTGTAATTTCTACTTTGGTCAGAATGCCTGAAAATATGTATGAAAAAGAATATCAAGACTCCTTTGTAGCAGAAAAGCAAAAAGATATAAGGACACAATAAAGATTTTTTTGTTGTCCTATCTGATGAAATCATCAACTAAACTTACGCCAAATAGTTTGTAAGATGAAATTTATATGATGAATATGTATTTAAAATTAAATGACAGTAACTTGTTAAACTAATTTCGGATAATATTAAGCATAAAGTTCATTTTGTAATGGTAACATTGTTATAATTTAAAACTGTCAATTTTACATCACTTATTTTTAAATATTATCTATTTTTTGTAGTCATGCTACTTCTAAACTATAGTACACATAGTCAAAAATGAATGCTAAAATTGCTTGTATTTATTTTTTGATATATTTTTTAATAATTAAACTTGAATGTATACAACAAGTAAAACCATTTTTAATCTGCATATTATGATTTCCTTTAATATCAAAAATTGTAAACTTTTGACGACAACTACCACGCACTTTTGGCTGTTTTTTATGCTACTCAACTTGTGATTAAACTTAGTTTTTATCACATTCTAATGTCTCATATAATAAGTGGAATACTACAAAGTGAAATGATTGTCAAAACAAAACATCATCATTATTGTTAGTGTCACGATATGTGTGTAAAAATCTACAGTAACACGGAAAAACAATAAAGTTTCAGTGACAACTTGACGGACATTCATTTATAGACACTTTGTACTCAAAGTCGCATAAAATACAAAAAAAATCGACGTGAATTCTAACTCAGTATTTAAATTGTAACGTTATCAACACACGTTTGCATGAAATTTTTGTATGAGAATCAATATTTGTTTAGGAAATCTATGACGACTGAGTCATAGTCATAAAACGTAATTATGCTAAAAAGATAGCTCCAAGTTAAGTAAAGACAGAACAATAGATGTTATAACTTATATTTTAAAATACTGAGAATCCTAATCTGAAAGTAAAAAATTCCTCCTTAATTTCTGCAACTAGTTACAACACTTAAACCTTTAACAATCCCATTTATTACTCGTTCAGCACTCTGTTTTTAAGAAATACTAGAAATTTGACCACAATTTCAAATACAAATTAAAAAAACACTAGGGGGTTTGCACTTACGGTTCTTGTATAAGTGGTGATATCTTGAGGATGGTGTCAAGGAATTTGCCGTCACCGCACCATATCGAGGGTTTTTGTGGTTGGCTGTTGACGTTCAATATCCTGAAGAGGATGCATAAAATGACGGCAATAGCGGCTAGAAGGGCTGTTGACATGATGGCGAAGGACCGCCCCAACTGAGCTTCTAAAACTAACACCTCGCCCGACCAAAATATCAACCGCTACTGAATGATTATGACGATACGCGCTAGTTTCGCGAATCTATTCCCCGAACATACGCGAAATTCCTTTTAGTGGAGGTAGTTGTCGATTTCGGTGTGTGTTCGATCTATGCACATGCTCGTTTATCTATTTCGTATACAAACAAAACGTCAAACGTCAACGACAGGCTTTCTTTTGTTATGGTTCAATGCACTTACTTTGATTTGAGTCCATGGTTACAGAAATCGATTGAGTTTTTGTTTGGTTTGTTTGGAATGGGTTTTTGGGTGAATTTGACCGAGGTTTGTGGTTTTGTGGGCAATTTAACCTAAGTTTTCAGCAGCTGATGGGACAATTGATATGCGGTAAATGTGCGCATGCGCGTCGAGAACCAATCATTGCAGGGGTTCAGGACCGTAATCCGTAATTGATATAATTGTTAGGGTTTCGCCGGAGGCTGTGGTCGACATTCGGATTTGTGAGCAAATAAATAATAATTGGTCTTGAGAACATACAAGAAACTCAGACCAATAATGAATTTTATTGTAGATTAGGGACTGAGTGGATACTGGTGTCAACAACAAATTTAATGCATAATAATATCAATTCATGATTCATTGTATGGACTGCAATAATCAGTGATAAATTTGGAGGACAGATGTAAATAAATAAAATAACGATTGTTTAATAGCATTTAAGCTTACAGAGTCACGATATCCAAGTGTATAACAAAAGACACATGTAACGACTGCAACCAACAATATAAGTCATTCAAGAACTTGCTTTTTTTCATTATTCATTCATTCTGATAATTATTTATTTATTCGAAGTGGCAAAGCCATGAGCGAAATGACAAGCAAAAGGAATTAAAAAGTGAAGTTCATCTAGAATTTGTATTACAGTGCAATTACGGAGGGAAATTACACAATTTTTTTATGTTGCTTAATTCACTTAACTGCAACAAATGAACACACTAACACACATACATGTACGTAACTTTATTACCCGAAAAGCAAGCAACAACAACAAAAATTTCAACCCCTACAACCACCCTTAAATAAAAAAATATATGACACATTTACTGAACTTTTTGCTATATTTTTAAATTTTGGTTCAGCACAATTTGTAGTCATCCATACCACACGAAGGATTAAAACATATTTTGGCCTTGTAATGCATATACAATTTTATACAGTTCTACATTATGAGAGATGCCATTAAAAAAATATATAATTTATCATTAGTCATTACCTGTAAATTATTATTATTACCGTATTAACAGTATTAATAGGAATAATTATTATAATTTTCAGTTTATTAGAGTGCTGTCTAACGCCCATTCCCCCAAAATTCAAACGTTCATTAATCCGAAATTCTACAAATAATTTGTATGCGCATTGGTACATAAATCTGTCAAAAAATGCAGAGAAAACGCTCTTTTGGTTGATTTAATTTGGACACTTGTGTGGAGAATTTTTTATAATAATATAACAATTCTCAAATTACTCGAAAAAAAGTTTCACTTGACGTTATCGGTGAATAATTTCCATGCATATAAATGTAGATATATCATAAAAGCGTTAAGTACATATATAGGAATTTATGTAAAACTGAAGTTTGATTTTATATTGTATAAAATCATAGCAAGACTTCCTTAGGCATAAAAATTATTAGTTTGGTTCCTCCTCACAAAGGTTATTTTTGTAAACAACATACATAAAGCGTATATATTATTAAATCTGTATGGTTATTTTTAAAAGCTCTAAAGAGAATATATTTTTTAGGAATTCGTAAGTTTTAAAATTAGTTGTTTCGCGTCTGGTTCCCTTCACTGTTTCTACTTCTTGCATTATCTGTTCTGGTTTCAACATTCTGTTTAGTTTCTAGCAAACCCCAGTAACATTTTATATGTAATAAATATTGAAGTTCTAACATTTAAATAATATGGGTAACGACAGATTTTTTTTTTAAAAAACAATATTGGTTTTAAATATTGAATATATATTTTTTTTCAATGTTTAATACTTATTTAGTTCGGAACATTTAATAAATGTTCTTCATATGAAAGGGGGTATGGATATAAAAAAAAACTTGTATGGAATACAATATAAAATTTATTAAACAGAAAAATACATTGTCACTGGAAATAACAGTGTATTTGAAATGTTGCGGCAATATTTATACATTTAAAAATTATTTGTCCTAGAACCAATTCGTTGAAAATTTGTACCAGGTGATTTTTTTTTATTTCTGCTGTAGTTATCCATGACACTTATGTCAGCAGTGAAACTGAAACTGCTGACATAAGCTTCATGGGCAACCAGAGCATAAATTTAAAAAATCACCTGATGTGAAACAATATAATTTTTTTAAACATAAAAATACACTGCCAACTTACAATGAAATAAAAATACATTGTCAATAGAATTAACAATGTTCTGCTACATTTCAATCGTTATACAGAAATATTTATTTAATAATTATTTGCTCTATAACCAATTCATTGAAAAGCGATATAATTAATTAAAATAAAAAAAATCATACCTCATGTTTTTTTTGATGAGAATTCATTCTTGCTTTTGTCTGCGCTTAATGAGGTCCTACCGTTTTTTAAATTTCAGTAGTTGTGGCGTTTTTGTGACGTTTCCGTGTGGTACCTACAATTAAATTAATTTACAAAATTTGTAATTTTTAAGAAATCACATAACTTTACATATTGTAGCCTTGTTAATTGTGAGTTCACTAAAAGAGAGATTATTTTTTTCCTTGCCCTGAAAACTTGAAAGCAATTTGGTTCATTATTAATAATTTCTTCAAAATTGCATACATGTTTTTTTACGTCTTCTCTTCCTGACAAATAAACATTATTATCAGTCTGAAACTAGTTTATAAATACTAGGAGTTAATAATAATAATAATAAATGCTTACCAATCCATCCAATTTCTACGTATCTCCCGCAATTTCTAACTCGATTTCTTCTTTTTTTTTGGTTGCGCCCGGACATTCATCATTTTGTCTCTACATTCATAATATGCTTATATTTAGAAATATTAAACCTCTTAAATATACTTACGTGTTGAGAAATTGCATTTTCTGCATTGCATGTAGAAGTGAGGTTATGTAGGTTTAGTACTGTTTTCTTGACAAAACGGTATTTACTACACTATTCTGAATTTATCGCAGTACCGATAATCACAATTCACAATAGGACAAACACCATGAACTTACACAAAATACTTTTTGAACTCCCAATAATAACAAATATGTTTATGTATATGTTGCACATTGCGCAAACGCGTTCCAGCAGAGCAAGCGCATCTGTAGGTGAAACGCAAATTTAACTAAGTTTTATAAAAATGATGAATAAAATTGTTATTTTTTGTTCGCAAAAATAAAAAAAATATTACTTTTTAATGAGCAATTAATAGTGTGCAAAGCGAGATTTCGAATAGTGTCAATTTCACAATAGCTGGTATTTTTTCAAATCAATTTTTAATATTACTCCAATAAAAACCCTATGAAATAAATTACCTACAAGTTGTCCCAACATGGTACTTTTTTTTTTCATTTTTGTTGTTCGGTATCTTGATAAAAAGACATTTCATAAATATGTAATATATGTTGAAATTCATATATAAATTTATAAATATAAAATGAATATTATATAAATATTTGTAATATCTAGTCAACATTTAATATTATATCAATGTTGTATAAATGTTAGAAAAATATTGCTTGCTACTGGGGAATGAATACATTTAATTTTTTATGTAACTATCCACCTTTCGAATTTTTGTTAAACTCTATAACTTTAACTGCTTTTACAATTTCTACTTTGCTTTACTTTTTTTTTTTTTAATTTCCGGCGGATGGCTACTCTTATGTTTTCTCGACGTTTCTCCTAAAGTATAAAAAGTAGGACTCGAATTCTGTCATCTGTCCGTCTGTCTGTTTTTGTCGATTTTTGTTGGACAAAAATCTCCGAAACTACCGAACCAATTGTTGTGAAATTGTATACGTGTTTTAGCAATACCGTGTAGATGGTAAAACGCTAACCAAAATTTGTCTAATCATCCCTACCAACGGTGATTTTATCTCCAAGATTTACAGTAGTAAATGTTACTTAAATTTTATAAAATAGGATACTCCTGATCTGAGAAAAAAATCCGTGGAAACGAATTTAGTAATTGAAAGTTTATGTATGGCGGCAAAATTCTAGTATTTATACCCCATTTAATTAATTCAATTGGCAACAATGACTATTTTAAATTATGCACCACATTCGATTGGTGGATTGATTTAAAATGTCAGTCCAAATGATTGATTGTCGCCAACGTAAATTTGAGTGCTGACCAATATTACCATAGTTTTCACTTGATTGGTACCACTGCATCGGCGGCTATCTTAGTCGTGGAAAAGGTCAATTGTTTTCCATAGTCATTTAATAGATATTCTGTTCTCTATTAATTATCCTCGATTATTTCCCTTCTTTGTAGTTTTGATAATTATGCAACCAACAATATAGATTATACACCGATCGAAAAAATTGTGGTATTTTAGTATCGTGCTTTATTTTTCGATTATCTCTTTCTTATTAATCCTTAACATGTTAGTTTAAAGTAGATACTGTAATAACCCAAACCTCCCGCCAGTTTATTTGGCATTGAACAAAATTTGAAAAAAAGCCCGCTAAAATTTAAAATTTGACCTTGGCTGTGATCGTCTACAAAAGTGGGACCCTACATTGTGTTTTGAAAACTGGCGGGAGGCGTTCGTTCATACGAATTGGCGCACTGCGGAGCGAGAAGAGTGACGGATTTAAAAAACTTATATTTGGAAAAAAAAAACTATGAAAAATAAATCCAATAAGAGCTTAAGAGACCGTGGCCAAGGGCCCCAGAAGAGCTTAAAGAATTTATTCCTCAGAGAAAAAAAACCTTTATTTTCACTCGAACCTGAGAACATAGAATAAATATTAGCAACCTTACAAGTACAACAAAAAAAAGCAAAATAAAAAGTCGCGGAATTCTCAGAAAGTAAATGGATGGCAACGTCCCAGATATTACGGTAGTGTGGCCTCTACAAACAAAATGGGGGCGCGCAGCGAGCGCAGGGCGAAGGCCCCACACCCCGTGAAGGTCCACATAGTCCTACCTCACCACTTCACGCGCGTGGTCTTACGCACCCACCTGACATAGGTTGACCTTCCTGTTTCCCGCGTACAAGGTAATTCGGTAAAACTCCGAGTCCGCTAGGGCCGGAAGTCTAGCAAGACCCGCAGACACTCGCACGGAGACGCCGACGCCACCGCGTCCACGCCACACGACCCCCGAGTTAACTAGCGTTATCAAAATGAGTATTTGGATTTCAGACAAGCAATAAGCGTAATTTAATTGGCCACACTCCATCAACACTTATTTTAAATAACAAAGAAATTTAAATGAGATTAGATTATGCACGTGTGATCAACAATCTTATACAATAAAGAAAATAAAGCGAGAGATTATTCATGTTTTTATCAATAACTTTAAAGAATAAGAATTTTGAAAGAGATTAAATTATTCACATTTTGGCAATGATTTTATTAAATTAGCTACATTTACGTCGCTGATTCTTACCAAAGAAAATAAAGAAGCTATGGATTTTATTGAAATATTTATCTGACATTACACAAAGAAGTTACGACTGCATTAAAATGATCTGGGCAAAGTTACGTTGTTGACCGAATTAAACAAACAAACCCCTTCCCCCTTCAACACATCCCCAAACAAAATACC